GATCAATCTCCACTTGGATCTTTGATGCAACCGACATTTCATCCACATACAAGAGTAAGTAAATGAAAGATCCATCTTGCACCTTGCGTAAATACACACAATGATCATGTGTGCTTCGCGTGTACTTTTGCCAAATCATAAACTTATCAAACCGTTTGTACCACTGTCTCAGAGATTGCTTAAGTCCGTACAACGATTTGTTCAACTTACAGACCCAATTATTTTTTCCAAGAATTTTGAATCTTTCAGGCTGAGTCATGTAGATTTCCTCATCTAAATCTCCGTGTAAGAACGTCGTCTTCACGTCAAGTTGAGCTAGCTCTAAATCCAACTGTGCTGCTAAGGCCAACAAAATTTTAATGGAAGAGTGTTTAACAACTGGAAAAAACAGTTCATTATAATCAAATTTCTTCTGAGCGTAGCCTTTAGCCACCAACCTTGCCTTGTAGCACACATCATTCTTATGAAGAAATCCATCTTTCTTTGCAAATACCCACTTGCATCCTATCGTCTTTTTGCCTTTTGGTAGTTGCGTCACCTTTCAAGTTTGATTATTCTGGAGAGACAACATTTCTTCCTCCATAGCCCATTTCCACTTCTCATTTTCTAAACTTCGAATTGCATCTTGAAAAGTGATAGGTATGTCATCATCAACAATTGGAAGTGCATACGCCACCATATCTGCCAATCGAGCAGGTTGTTGAATCTCTCGTCTGGACTTTCTCAATGCAATGGGTAAATCTAATGATTCGTGAGTCTGAACTTCATCATCCGACGAATCGTTTGATATTGTTTCGTCGATCATAGCTGGTTGTCTCGTCATCGCATCTATCTCCACCTGCTTCGGTGTCAACTCCACCTGTTGGGTTTGCGTCGTATTTATCATACTATTTTCATCAAATGTAACATCCCTGCTAAACACAGTTTTGTTCGTCTCAAGACACAAAAGACGATATCCCTTCACGCCAATTATGATTCTCATGAACAAAGCTTTTTTCGCTCTTGGATCTAACTTTCAATCCTTCACATGATAGAACGTAGGACACGCAAAGACATGTAAAGATCCAAAGTCAACAACAGGTTTTCCCGACCATACCTACAACGGTGTTTTACCATCTTTTGCAGATGACGACAAACGATTTATGAGGTGTTGCGCATATGTTACAGCCTCAGCCCAGTACTCTTTGCCCAAACCAGCATTGGACAACATACATCGAACTTTCTCCACCAATGTTCGATTCATGCGCTCCGCCACCCCATTTTGTTGTGGTGTCCTTCTAACGGTGAAATGTCTAACAATGCCATTTTTACGCCAAACCTCTTGAAAGGGATCACTAGTATATTCTCCACCATTGTCCGTTCGTAGGACCTTGATCTTCCTTCCAATCTGGTTCTCAATTTGTGTCTTCCATGTAATGAAAACTCCAAGAACTTCATCATTTGTCTTCATAGTGTACGCCCAAACACGTCTGGAAAAGTCATCGATGAAAGTGACAAAATAGCGTCTTCCGCCTAATGATGGGGTCTTAGAAGGTCCCCAAACATCCGAATGAATATAATCCAAGACACCTTCAGTATTATGGATAGTCGTTCCAAACTTCATTCTTTTCTGCTTTCCCAAAACACGGTGCTCACAAAAGTCTAGTTTGCACACTTTGACATCTTTCAACAGTCCTTGTTTTGCCAATGTTTGCAAGGATTTTTCACCAACATGTCCCAAACGCATATGCCACAACTTGACTGCTTCAGACTCCTTGTTGGTGGAATCTGCTACTGTTATTGTCCCAACAACTGTATCACCTTCATAGTAATTCAAGTTATTCCTCCTGAAGCCTTTCATCACCACGAGCGACCCGGATGTAGCCTTCATAACTCCATCTCGCAAAGTAACTACCAAGCCTTTGGATTCCAAGGTTCCTAACGAGATGAGGTTTTTCTTCAAACTCGGCACGTACCGAACATCCGTCAAAACTCTGGTGGAACCATCGCGATTCTTCAAACGGATTGAACCTATTCCAGTTGTCTTGCAGGCATTATCATTACCCATATAGACAACCCCTCCATTGATCTCCTGAAAATTGAAGAACCACTTCCTAATGGGAGACATATGGTAGGTGCATCCTGAATCCAAAATCCATTCGTCTGGATGAGATGATGAAGGTGAAACCACAAGTGAAAATTCTGAGTCTTCACTTCCACCCTCAGCAACATATGCATCTTGAGGAGATTTGCCCTTCTTCTTCAACTTAGGACAGTCTTTCTTTCAGTGTCCCTTCTCATGGCAGAAAGCACACTCGTCTTTTTCAAGCTTGGCTTTGGAACGTGATCTTCCTCGTCCATTCTTCTTTTGACTCTTCGATCGACCTCTTGCAACCAACGCTTCATCTTCTGTTGTTGCATTCTTCGTCTCTTGTTTGTTCTTCTTTCTCAACTCATAGCTATACAGAGTAGAACTGACCACTGCAAGAGTTACATCGTCCTTCCCATGGAGCAGAGTAGTCTCTAAGTGCTCGAAGTCATCTGGAAGTGATGATAACAACATAAGAGCAAAATCTTCATCGCTGAATGTGACGTCCAAGTTCAACAAATCTGCAACTAACTGATTGAATGCAATGACGTGATCATTCATCGATGTGCTCTGCCGGTACTCAAAACGGAACAATCGCTTCTTCATGAGGAGCTTATTCTGGCCGCTTTTCTTCAGAAATTTATCCTCCAAAGTCTTCCACAAAGTGTGAGCTGAGTTCTCATTCTTGAACGCGTACTTATGCTCTCTCGACAAACACGAACGATTGTTCAACATGTTAAGCGGTTGATATTCTTCCAGTCCTTCTGTTCAACGTCTGTTGGCTTCTTTTCTTCAATCGCAATGTCGACTCCTTGCTGAAATAAACAATCCAGCACCTCGCCTTGCCACATGCTGAAATGACCAGTCCCATCGAAGATCTCCACCGGGAGTCTGACGTTCGGCATCACCGTCCTTGCCGGAATGAATGATGAGGATGATGCGCCCTTGACCTCCTTGGACATCTCGAACTCAAATGCAGTGCTCGCCTCTCCGAATGAGCCTGGGACGAACCTTCGGCTCTGATACCACTTGTTGGGGTATCACAACAAACGCAGTGGACAAAAATACCCCTCCAACAAATATGGCAAGCCCTACTCCAAAACGAAAAAGAAGTCAACACAAATAAATAAATAACGGGAAAGAAAAGAACACAAAAATTGATAACGGAGCTCGGCGAAAATAGCCTACGTCTCCGGGCACTGCCAACCGCAACACTAAATTTACTAAACTCACCAACAAAATACAACTAGGGTTAAATAACCTACAAAATATAATTTCCTTAATTAAGGATTTCCTTCTAAATAAAAGAGAATAGAATAAAGTGCAATTGTAACCCAAAGGCAATGGACCTATTTATACTAAAAGGATCCTACACATCTTTGGTACACATCCGAGATGAGACAAAAGTTAATCAAAATCTAACAAACATCACTTCCAAAATCATTTTTCTTTTACTTTTGCATCATATCAACTTTAATTATTTTATTTTAAATATTATTTTAATATATCACTAGCAACTAACCATACCAACTTTTTTCTAACTTAACTATAGTTAAAAAAAAAATCAGTTAATTTTTAGATGAATTCATAAACAATCACCCCTAAAAATTTCCCAAAACCACATAGAATTAATAAAAAAAAAAAAGAGAGAAAATTGAAAAGGTAAAGAAAAAGGAAGTAAAGGTAGGGAAATACTACAGTTCCGTTACGGAATCATTCTGTCGAGCTTTGTAACCGTTATATCATCATGTAACCTTTAAGTATAGTTGATCTAACTATTATAAATCTCGACAGAATATTTCCGTAACGGGACGGTAACATTTAATATATATATATTTTTTTTTTTTTGGTACAAAGATGGAGGCCAAGGGCCTAAGATTACGAAACTAGGACTCGACGTGGGTGAGCCACTCCACGGTAGTCGTGGTCTAGCCAAGTAGCCAACCCCTGGGGGGTGACGAGAATCTCTGAACTCCCAGAGGGTAGGAAGAGGCGATACTCGCCATGTGGTCTGCCGCATAATTGGCTTCCCTATGCACGTGCTGGATCCGGATTGTCCACCCTGGGTCAACTAAGCTACGAATGGATCGGGCTAGTGACTCATGGACTCTAGAGTGACCTTTTGTCCCAAGTACCATCTGCAGCACACACTGGCTATCAATTTCAGCTATTACTTGCCTAAATCCCAACTCTCAGGCTACTTGCAGTCCCTGAAACAAACCCCATAATTCAACCCATTTAATACTATTTTAAATTAAATCAAGCATGGGTCTTTCCGGTAAAAAGCAAGTCAAAAAAACGTACCCGATTAGTTAAATATATTCCCCTGCCCACGGTGGGCAGTGCCCACTAGTTTGTTTTTATATGAAAAACGTAGTATTCTCAAAATACGTTTTTCATATAAAAAAACTAGTGGGCACTGTCCACCGTGGGCAGATGAGCGGGACTGCCCGATTAGTTTTTAGATAGATTTGATGAAATAATAAGATTGACAAGAATCAAGAAAATCCAGTAAACCGCAAAACCCACTAATCATTCGTAAATACAAGTAACAACTTTTATCAGTTGAATGTTCTTGAAAACGCGTTGAAAGCTTAAAAATTTGTCTTGACAACGACAGCACTCATCAAGCGACAGGTACCACACCACTGTCTGGTAATAAATTAGCTATTATTAACACTCCGCAGCAATCCATGGCAGTTTTCACACTGTCAAAGTGCCGATTTTTTGTTTCAAATTTTTAGTTTCCTTTTGATGAACCAAGAAAACCCTTCAGCTCTGCGAAAGATTCTGTTGCTTTTAAATTTTACTGCCTTTTTCTGTTTTGTGTGCTTCTGAACTTGTTGTAAAGGTGACATTTTTCTGTTCTGTTTTTGGTTTTCTGTTTTCAGTTCAGTTTCCACCTCAAGATTGGATTTTTTTGGGGGGGGACATGAAAATTCTCAGTTGTTTCATGTTGATTTTCTGGTTTTCTGCTTCAAAATTGGGGGTGGCTGCTCTGAATTCAGATGGTACAACTCTGTTGTCCCTTGTTAGGCATTGGACGGTTGTACCTCCATCCGTTAAGCTCAACTGGAATGCTTCTAATGCCACTCCTTGTTCTTGGGTCGGGGTGCATTGTGACCGTGAAAACTTCATTGTTGGTTTAAATTTGTCTAGCTTTGGGATTTCAGGTCGATTGGGACCCGAAATCGCTTATTTAAAGAGGTTGAAAACAATTGACTTGAGCAATAACAGTTTTTCTGGTTCACTCACACCAGCACTGGGCGATTGTAGTCTTCTTGAGGATATGTATTTGTTCGAGAACAGTTTTTCTGGTGAAATTTCAGAAACTCTTGGAAATTTGCAGAATTTGCAGAACTTGGATCTGTCTGAAAACAATTTTTCTGGTAAAATCCCAGAAAATATTGGGAATTTGCAGACATTGCAATATCTGAGCTTGTGGTCGAATTCTCTCATTGGCGAAATCCCCGAGTCTTTATTTCGAATACCATTCTTGAGCACAATTTACCTCAGCAGAAACAGCCTCAGTGGTTCTATTCCATCGTATATTGGGAATTTGAGTCATCTCGAATTTTTGTATTTGGACTATAATCAGTTATCTGGAGTTATTCCTTCATCCATAGGTAACTGCAGTTCTTTGCATGATCTTTATTTGCATGATAATAATCTGGAAGGTGCATTGCCTCGTAGCTTTAACAATCTCGACCGACTTGTTTCTTTAGTAGTGAATAATAATAATCTGTCGGGCGAAATTCCAGATTTGGGCAATTGTTTAGAGTTACAGACCCTTGTTTTGTCGAACAACAGCTTCTCTGGAAATATCCCCATTGGATTGGGAAATTGCAGTGGCTTAACAACGTTTGCAGCCGTTAATTGCAGCTTAAGTGGGCCTATTCCTTCATCTTTAGGTCAACTTTCAAGGCTCACACTGCTTTACCTGTCTGAAAATCGGTTATCTGGAAAAATCCCGCCAGAGTTGGGAAATTGCAAGGCCTTGACTGATTTGCAGGTGTATGAAAACGAGCTTGAAGGTGAGATACCGAGTGAATTGGGTTCGCTCGGTGATTTGCAGACACTTATGCTTTTCACCAACCGTTTAAATGGAGAAATTCCCATTGCTATTTGGAAAATCCAAAGTCTTCAAGATATAATCGTTTACAATAACAATCTTGTGGGCCAGATACCTAAAGAAATAACCGATCTGAAGCAGTTGAGAAATATTTCCTTGTTCGATAATCGCTTTTCTGGAGAGATACCCCGTGAGCTAGGCATAAATAGTAGCCTGACTCTAATAGATTTTACCCGCAATAGCTTCTCGGGCCCTATACCTCCGAATCTTTGCCATGGGAAGAAATTGGAGAAGCTTATTTTGGGTCAAAATCAGTTTGAAGGAAATATTCCTTCTGATATAGGGAATTGCTTTTCTCTGAAAAGATTGGTTCTGAGATCGAATAATCTTACAGGCGTGCTTCCGGAGTTTGTACTGAATTCGGACCTATTGTTTATGGATCTTAGCAATAATAGTCTTAGTGGAGCAATACCTTCAAGCTTGGCCAATCTCACAAACATTACCTCTGTAGACTTATCATTCAATAACCTCAGTGAACATATTCCTTATCAGCTCGAAAATATTTTGCACCTTGAGAGTTTGAATCTATCCCACAATGTTCTTGAAGGTGTTTTACCGTCAGAATTGTCCAACTGCCACAAGTTATCGAAACTCGATGTGGGCCACAATCGGCTGAACGGGACCATCCCGTCTAGCTTAAGTAGCTTGACAGAATTAGCCATTTTGGATCTTAGCGAAAATCGTTTTACGGGTGGCATCCCTGATTTTTTATTTGGATTAGGAAAGCTCTCGTTTTTGCAGCTTGGTGGAAATCGATTAGGTGGAACTATCCCTCGTTCAGTAGGCTTGGAAAACGAAGCTCACAGCTTGAGGTCACTTAATCTTAGCAGAAATGGGTTAACGGGCCGTGTTCCGATAGAAGTTGGGAGGTTGAAAATGCTGGAAGAGTTGGATATTTGTTGCAATAATCTGTCGGGAACTTTGGAGGCCTTTATTGGGCTCCGTTCGTTGACTTTGGTCAACTTCTCGTACAATGACTTTTTCGGTCCTATTCCATCTCAGTTTTTGCAATTGGTGATTTCTTCTCCATTTTCGTTGATCGGAAATCAAGATTTATGCATCGATTGTCGTGCAGGAGGCCAAACGAGCTGTCGGAAGTATAACACCTTTAAATCATGTGGTAGTATGTCAAGAAAAAGAAGTCTTAGGCATTTTCATATTGCTGTGGCTATTTTAGGATTGGCTCTTTTAGTCGTTATTATCCTCTCTGTCGGAATATGTTGTGTGCTTTTGAGGCAAAAAGGGCGTAAACGTAATTTTCTTCTCCCGGGTGAGGAAGAAGGGGCTTCGTCCCTTCTCAACCAAGTCTTGGAAGCCACCGAGAATCTGAACGACAGATACTTGATCGGGAGTGGGGCTCACGGGAAGGTATACAAGGTCACATTAGCCCCCACAAAAGTCTACGCTTTGAAGAAGCTCGAATTAGGTGGGCTCAAGGAAGGAAAGACAAACAGCATGGCTCGAGAAATCGAAACAATCGGGAAAGTCAGACACCGGAATCTGGTCAAACTCGATGATTTTTGGCTGAGAAAAGACCATGGTTTGATTCTGTATGGTTACATGCCGAACGGGAGTCTTCACGATGTTCTGCACGGGGCTTGTCCTATAAAGCCATTGGATTGGGGGGTGAGGTACAGGATAGCGCTTGGGACAGCCCATGGACTAGCGTATCTGCATTTCGACTGTGATCCTGCTATTGTGCATCGAGATATTAAGCCGATGAATATTTTACTTGATTCGGAGTTCGATCCTCATATTTCGGATTTTGGCATAGCTAAGCTTTTGGATGCCTCGGTTGGTTCAAATACGTGCAGCAGGATTCAGGGCACTTTTGGTTACATGGCTCCAGGTATGTTTAATTCATCAGTCTTTTCATCTTTTTTTTTTTTTTTGGGGTTGTAGTGTGCCTATATTGTTGGAGTAAAATGTGATATTAAAACGTACCGATATTGTTGTACCTCTATCGATTCTCACCATCAAGTCACTGAAAATTGAAAAATGTTGGGAAATCTCATGCGTGCATGAACAGAATTTTTTTTCTTTAAAAAAAAATTGACATTTCTAAGCAAACAATTTGGAGTTTTGATTGATGTAAGCTACTTGTAAGGTTTTTTGGAGATAAAGCTCAATTCTTCTTAGCAAGGGAGTTTGAAATTTCATGTGAGCTCAAGGGAGTTTATGCAAATTCTTGAATTGTCTTCTTTTGTTTCTTGCAAAACTCGGGTTTCTGTTAACTAATACAATCTTTCTCCGACAGAAAATGCATTCTCGATCAGAAGTACCAAGGATACAGATGTGTACGCTTATGGTGTGGTCCTTTTGGAACTAATCACCCGAAAGGAAGTAGTGGACCAATCGTTCGGACCCGAAATGGATATTGTCGGTTGGGTTAGATCGGCTTTGGATGAAGGTGAAGACATTGAGTCCGTTGTGGATTCAGAGCTCGTAGATGAATTTATTACAGATTCGAGTGTGAAAGGGCATGTGAAAAATGTGATCTTGATTGCTTTGAGGTGCACTGAGAAGGAGGCTAACAAGAGACCTAACATGAGAGATGTTGTGAAGCAGCTAACAGTGTTGGCTGATAGCAGCAGTAGAAGCAAAAATAGTACATAAGCTGTATTAAAGTAGCAAGAAAACTAGTTTCAATTTCTTTTCTTTTTTTTTTTTCTCTCTCTCTCTCTCTCTTTGGTTTGTTTTTGGTACTCATCAGCATCCGTGTAAAATTAACTTGTGTAACGCCATTTGCTTCTTGTTTCTATGTTTCTTCTTAATTGATGCTACTGAAGATTGATTTTATTTTTTTTTTTTTTTGGGGGGACGAACATAATTTGATCGATAAAATGACGTAAATAATTAAAATGGACATGATTTAAAAATAATAAAATCATATGCGCTTTACTAACATAGCTGATCAACATGTACACATTCATAAAGAATATCTAGCCTTTGCCTATATTAAGTCAAATATAAAGCAACAAATATATTCTGGGGAAAGGAAAAAAAAAAAATTGACAATAAAAGAGGGAAAAAGAAAATTGAAAAGAAAGGATTGAAGCCTTCTTTGAAAACAAGATTACAGGTAAATTCCTCCGAAACTGAATACACAGTGTAATTTACAAAGTAATCAACAAGTTTGCATTAGGAACTTCCATGAGATCGAGTGGATGAAATCGATTGTGCTGAAATAGAAGCAGTCGGGCTGTTTAATTCTCGTTCCCCATTAGCAACCTTTGGTTTTCCACTCAGCTTCTCTAATGCATCTTGACAAACATCGTTAAACCAATCGTCTTCCGGAAGTTCGCTGCGAAGTGGCAACACAAATTGATGTTTTAATACAATACAAAGGTAAGATGAAAACATGCTTAGTAACAAGATATATTTTTGTTTCTCCAAAGCCCCGAAAATGGAAACAAGGTCAACCGCTAAACTCCAAATCCCGAATGGCGCCATTACAAAAGCCCAAAGAATTTTCACGGAATCATTTACGAAATTTCAGAACTAATAGGCCAAAGCTTGATTACAGCTAGAAACGTCATTATAACACTTGCATGTCCCTGTGTTTCCATTACCAATTTCGAGTTTTGTTTCCGGTATTTAGGTAACTGAAAACAGCAATTTATGCTCATTTGGTGAAATTTTCATGATAATAAAATTGTTTTAACTATTACTATTTAGTGTTTGTAATCTTAATAGCTTCTATGATAGTGAGAACATACATATGACACATCATACATTAAGTCTTACCTATACGGATCTATCCCTGTGGCAGAACATGCAGCAACTGCTTTAGATATAATATCGTTGACCACACGATGCAAATTCCTTGACAAGTAGCGGCCTTGCGAAGCAAAGCACATTACGAATTTCATATCCAAATAGAACTGCATCAAATTAATCATATGAATAAATCAGCCACATGGAGAATTCAAGAGTCTACCGTGGTTGTATCAGATTTTACATACCTGCTGTAGACCGAGTGGACCCAAAGGCCTAGGCCCTTCCTCGATATCATCCCAAAACGTTTGGTCTTCTGAAAGCCATAACATAACAGTTTCAGTGAGCCTCATTAATAAAAGAATCGCAAATCTTTCTCGCCCCACAAACATGTCTGCTGCTATTCCAGCCATCCTATTCAGCTTTGCAAAGAGTTCCTGAAAGTGTAAAAAGTTGGCATATAAGAATATACACAATATGCATAGGGAGTGTAAATTAAATTGGCTTCATAACAATAACCACCCCAAAGCATCCAACGCATTTGCTATTACGTATGTGTATATATGCACACCCATCAATTTTAGGGGACTCTAAGCAGCTCTGAGGTTCTCATTTTCTTATCAAATATATCCCATTGAGCATGCTGTGTGAAATTTGTACTGATCAAAACAAGAAGCCAATGGGGCATGGGTGATTCTGAGTAGTTGGAGTTCTTTAACAGATTGAAGATCATGGGTAGGGAGTTTTTTTAACAGATTGAAGATCATGTGCATCATAAGCTCCCAAAAGATTATGTTTC